GAAAAAAAATTAATAAAATATATGCTATTAAAGACTTCAGAACTCAAATACACCCTAGCTCTCTGTTTCTTGCATGCAAAACTTGGCATTCAAATTCTGCTTATGTTGCTGTATTTAACCTGTAAAACTAATTTAGACGAAGAATGAAAACAGTAAATTCTTACTGAATTAGCTGAGTTTTTGAAGGTAGTGTCAACATGCTAGAATTCCATGTGAAAGCTGAAAGATGCTACATTTATTTTCCTGGATGGGTATTTTAATGATCAGATCCATTATTTCTTTAAGAAGCTCAGTGCCCAGGGCTAGAGAAAAATGTCACTATCATTGCACAATTGCATAATTCTGTCAACTGGAATCTATGTATTGATTTGAAAAACGTGCATAGATCACAAAGTGTTAGGGGAATTGTACTAAGATGAAAGGATAAATGGCTCCTGAACTGACAGATGAATTCAAGCTAACCACCTACATTTTTATACTTGTGTTTGACACCTCACAGGTTGCTTTCCTGGAAGGAACCTTGTCATGCTCAAGGTTTGTCAATGAATTCCTTTTTTTTTTTTTCTTAAAGGAAAACTGCTTGTGTAGTTCCTTGAAGATTAGAATCTCCACAGATCAACTTTGTAGGCCCAAGCAATTTGGAGAGTACATCTGAGTCTAAACAAATTCCCTTAAGCCTCCATGTTATATATGCTAATCTTCTCATTGGTCAGAGGAAGTAGATCTGGAAGGAACTTAGATTAGAATTTAGTCTAACTTAACAGGGGTGGGGAACCTATGGCCAAGAGGCTGATTACATCGTATTACTTTGATCAAATATCATTTGTTTGCTTACCTGTGAAATGTAAGTTCCTTGAGGGCAAGGACTGTCTCACTTGTGCATTTTAATTCCTAGAGCCTATCCCATTGACTAGCATATAGTAAGTGCTTCATAAATGCATACTGACTGATTGATAAATTGTCAAATTGTTGAATCAAACCAAACTGTCTAGTTCAAGGCCACATAAGTACTAAGTATCAGAGCTATTGATTCCAAGTTCAGAATTTATTTTAGTACACAGTTTGCCTTTTGATATGAATACAATATTTCATATTTCATCCTTTTCTAAGATGCTTAATTAAACAATGTCATTATTCTTAGATTTCCCCTTCCTTCTTACCATCAGTTCTTTTGCTCACGCAATGAGAAAATCTTTAGGATATAATCTGTGTTCCTGAGAAGGTTGTAACCAAGTTTAGTTCTGGTATGTATACAGAGTATCTCAGACTCATATGATATCCCATTACTGGTTTCCCATTACCTTTTTTTTTTAAACTCTAACTCCCTATTGTACATCAATGAGGATTTATGATTTGGAGTCCTACAATGAAATAAAACAGTACCTATTTCTTTTAAACAATGGAGTTCACTCACAGCAATGATAATTGTCATATGAATCCTTAGCTTCCTACTCCCATGTCTCTTGTTGCTTAGGTGATTCTTCCTGCAAAATCAGGCATGAGGTGAAGCAGGTTGTAGTGAATTACTGGTATGACTTCAAGGTATCTTCTTGTACCTTTGCTTGGGAATAAGAGAGACATTGGTTCTAGAGCTGGTTTCCCTACCAGTTATCTTTTTCCCCATCCCAAAAAGTCTCTGGGTTTAGCTAAGGGAACATGTTGGGGAGCATGTCTTTTTCTTAATATCCTTTTCCATCCTTCCAGTGCCAGTGATACTTTTTGAGGACATGACTATCGGTTAGATACTAATGCTATGGTACTGTGACTCCCATGGAATACATTTTGGTAGACAGCTCCATTTTCTCTCTTGAAGATAGGTGTACTAGGAATGTATAGTAGGTTGTATAGCACTTGTGACTTCATAATGATTTTGTCCTTCACAAAACAGAGTATTTATTATGTGCCAGGTGCTGCGCTAAGCACTGGAGATACCAATACAACCAAGCGAAAGAGTTTCTACCCTCAAGGAAGTTATATTCTAACGGAGAAAGATAACATATATAGAGTTCCTGGAAAACCCATCACATTTAAAATCATTGTCTCTGATACTTTCCTGTCATTTATTGATATTACCACATTAAGGATAATAGTTCTTATTTTAAGCAAGTGTAATTCAGATTTGGTGGTACATATTTCTTCCAGAAGATATCTTTCTTGATGTCTGAAGAGTGTGTTTATTAAATCATCACAAAAAGCATGTGAAAGCTTGAGAAGGCATGTCCATTCTTGGTCTTGTTTTCTGACTTCAAGGTCAATCCTGAACTAGTTGACTGAGGGTTAGACTTTTTCCGGCGACATTAACTTTGTGACTTCTGAGATGACCTTTTCATTTATATACGGAAGAGATGATGAGAGATATACTGCTGAGTTCTATCTCTCCCTTTTTCAACTCCCCCGAGAAAACATTTATGACATGCTTTGCTGCAAACCTCCTATCAAGAAGCTTTGCCCAGTGGCCTGGCATCATGGGAATTCTCTTGGCTTTTCTCGGCTGGTTGGTGATAATTTAGTTTTAGTCATCTTTTCCTCCCAGTTCCACCTACGTTGTTCTGGGGACAAAAAGTATAGTGGTAGTTATAATCCCACTACTTCACATGGAAACATGGCTACAAGTGCCTACTGTGTGAACAACTTGTTACATATTTCCATGGCATCCAATTATAAATATTGCAATATTTCTAGCAAAAGTTTTATAATTTCAGATTATAAAATACTTTGTTAAAACTGTCTCAAAATCCCTTATAATTTAATTTTAAAAATCTCTTTTAGTTTTATTGCATTTTTTCCTATTTCATAATCATTTCTCCTTAACCTCCCCCATTGAATCCTCCTTTGTAACAAAATAAAAGATTGATCATTACAATGGATGAGAATTCAATTGCCTTTTGGTGTTGTTACCATTTGTATTATTGTGGTCATTGAATATATCATTCTCCTGATTCTGTTTATTCTTCATCAGTTAATACAAGTCTTCAAATGTTTCTATGGACTTTTCATATTATTCATTTTTTTTCATTTTTTGTCTGGACATGGAATTTCATCGGTGTAGAAAACCCCTCAATGAGGAAGCTTACTCTATCAAGGCAAATCAATAACGATTCTGAAATTTATTTTATTTTTAGTTATTTAAAAAAATAATCCTTAGAATATTTCTTGGGGTACCAAAAAGATAAATGATTGGCTAAGATCACACAGCCCAGTAGGTCACCCTGACTCCAAGACAGGCTCTCTATCCATGATGACATGCTGTTTCTCTCATAATTTTTTTTTTATGGGTAGGCGATGGGGTTAAGTGACTTGCCCAAGGTCACACAGCTAGTAAGTGTTATGTGTCGGAGGTTGGATTTGAACTCAGGTCCCCCTGACTCCAGGGCCAGTACTCTATCCACTGCGCCACCTTGCTGCCCCTCTCATAATTTCTTACAATGCAACAAAACTACATTGCATTCAGTTATCACATTGGTATAGCCATTTCTCAATTGGTGGGTTCTCATGGTTTCCTTTTGCATGAGTGTGTGTGTGTGTGTGTGTGTGTGTGTGTGTGACTACAAAAACATTTACTTTTATAATTGAATACTATAACATCTCTACAGAGTAAAGATAAGGAGAAACCTAACCTAGAAGAGGGACAATAGGAGTTGGGGGTTGGAGTGAGAGTGTTAGGCTGGTGGTGGCATGAGAATGGGTTATAGAGGGAGAAGCAAATGCATCGATTTAGCCTACATAGGAACTCTCACATTCTTAGTATATTCAGGTGATTGGATGATTTGTTTACTGGAAAAAGGGTTCCAAAAATGGACTGGCACCTGTCACAGTGCATTGCATGAAGTAGATGCTGAGAAAGCATTTGTAGATTTACTCATTGTTACCAAATACTTAATTAGAATGCTGGACTTAGAGTTAGAAAGACCTGAGTTCAAATATGGCCTCCAACATTTACTATCTGTGTGACCCTGGGCAAGTCACTTAACCTTTGTCTCAGTTTCTCCACTGTAAAATTAGGCTAATAATATTTCCTAACCCTCTGGGTTGTTGTAAGACTCAAATGAGGTAATAATTGTAAAAAGCACTTATCAATAAATAGTAATAATCAATAAAAATAGCTTAGCCTGGAATATAGTAGGCACTATATAAATGCTTATTTCCTTTACTTCCCCTATAAACAGTTCAACCAACCAAGCAAAGTATCTGTGAAGGTAAAGTCATTTGGAAATCCACGCCTCCAAAATGTTGTATCCAGAATAAATTTAATGACTGTCTTCTTCTCTCTGTCTTTAGCTTGTCTTTCAAAGCCCTTCATGACCTGGCCCTCTCCAACCTTTTTGTCTTCTTAAACTCTCTTGTTCTTTAGTTCCCTTCACATACTCTGTGTCCCAGTGATAACTGGCTTCCTTGCTTATCCTCACACATATCCTTTCTCTGAGCATTTTCACCTCCTACAAGGAACCCTTCCCAGTTCCCTTTAATCTTTGTAACTTCCCTCTGGGATCAGCCCAATTTATCCTTCAAATGTCTTGTTTGTATGTAGTTTGCACGTTCTCTCGCCCGTTAGACTGTACATTCTTTAAGAGCAGAGACTTTTTTTTAGCCTTAATTTTTTTTATCCCCAGTGCTTGGCATATAGTAAGAGTTTAATAAATGCCAGATGACTGACTGACTCTTCTCCTTCACATTGGACATAAATACATGAATTTTGAAAACAGTACATCATTATAGCACCTTATTCCTTGGCCATTGTCTAAGAAATAGCTTGAATAAATACAAGGTGGCGTTTTACAGTTTTAACCTTTTTTTTTCCAGTGTTAAAAGCTTCTACAGAACAGTTCTTCTTTGTGCATGATAATGATACATTGATAGATCCAGAGAAAGGAAGATCTGAATTCATTCATATGCTTTTCATGAGTGTTATAAGCCTTGTGAAAAAAAGCCATGAAGTTCAAATAGCATTAGAAACAATTCAAAAGGATTAAAATGTTATTCTATTCTACTTTTTTTTCCAGAAAATCTTCAACACTGAAGAAGTATCAAACTTAAGTGTCTGAGATGTATACATAGCCATCCAAGCTTTCTTGAGATTCTGTTTCCATAACTACAGAGTTTTCAAGTTTATTCTCCTGGTAAGATCTGGGTAGTTATGATGATCAGCTTACTACTTAGAGTAAGGAAAGGAATTATGGCACAGTGGGAAAAGACCTAGCTTTGGACTATAAAGCTGGTGGTCAAGTGATATCTGTGTCACATAAACCCGTATGACCTTGGACAAATCATTTAACTTCTCTGGATCTCAGTTTACTTATCTGTAAAACGATGGGATTGAGTTAATTGGCCTCTAAGATTCTTTTTATCACTAAGTTTATGACCCCATGTTGACTCATCCTGATGCTGTAGTGGGAGATTTAGATTTCTCTTTGGGCAATTAACTGTATCCAGGCTGATACCTTGGGTAAGAAATTATATGACTTTTCTTGACCAGACCAGGGGTAAGCAGAATTAGAATAAGATAGGTCATAACTATGCTTGGTTTTGGAATATGTAATTGATTTCATCTTAAAAACCAAGCCATGCTTTTGACTGTTGAGCAACTGAAGAGCCCAAGATCTTAATACCCCCTGTTTTGCCAACTTGCGAGCTTGAAATGTATTAGATTCACATACTCAAGGACTTGGTTTATATTAACAGATAACTCCTTTTTAAAAAGCCATTCTTTTGCAAGCCAAAGATCCTTTGTGTTTTTTCCTTAAAATGTATTTCTTGATGGCAATTGCATTTTTAAAATTTTAATGTAGTTTTTTTTTCATTTCTTGAAAAATATCCCTATCATTTACCATCAGGCAGCTATTGAAGACAATGTGAAACAAGCAATTAAGTGGTACATAACATATATTCCACATATAGAATTCTATGTTGTGTATATATACGTATATGTACACATACAATACGTGCATATATGTGTTATTTGTGTATACGTGTATGTATACACATATACACACATATAGTAACTCAAAGACAAATTAGTTTCTGAAAGTTTTTGAACAGGAAAGTGAAATGGTCTGATTTGCACATTAGAAGTAGTATTCAGGAGATTTATGAAAGATAGATTGAAAAGAGAAAGGATTGGAGAAAGGGAGATCTTATTAGCTGTGTGATCCTGGGCAAGTCACTTAACCTCTGTCTGCCTCACTTTCCTCATCTGTAAAATGGGGTGATAATCATGTGTACCTTTCAGGGTTGTTGTGAGGATCAAATGAGATAACAATTGTGAAGTGCTTAGCATAGTGCAGGAGAGTAAAAAATGTTTGAGTTTGTGTATGTGTGTTAGTATGTATAAGTTTGTGTGTGTATAGTGTTATATGTTAGCTATTATAATAAAATTATTGTGACATTGGACAACTCAGTTTTTGATTTGCCAAATAAGATTAGATTAGATGATCTAGAGGTAGCTAGGTGGTGTAGTGGGTAGAGAGACAGGTCTGGAGTCTGTAAGACTCATCCTCCTGAGTTCAAATCTGGCCTCAGACACATACTAGCTATGTGACCCTGGGCAAGTCACTTAACCTTGTTTGCCTCAGTTTCTTCATCTTTAAAGTGAGTTTGAGAAGGAAATGGCAAACTACTTCAGTATCTTTACTGAGAAAACCCCAAATGGGGTCATGGAGAATCAGACACCACTGAAATGACTGAACACCAACAAAGATGATTTAGTTCCTTTCTAGTTCTAAAACCTATAATTAGCACTCTCAGTGAAAGTTTTGGTGAGTAGCCTGTCACGGAGGTGCTTGAGCAGAGTTTGGATAACTACTAGTTGGGAATATTGTGGAAGAGATTTTTGATTTGAGTAGGGTTTGAATTACATGTCCTCTAAGGTCTCTTCCTATTCTAAATCTGATTATTACAATTTGTCCATGCCCTAGAGAATCTGCAATACCTATCTAGAAAGTGTGAGCTGCAACGCTACTTGAGAAACAGTAGGATTTTCTTTCTTCTCTTTATTTTGTTATACCTATTGGATCTGTGGCCTCAATAATGATTTACTTTACCATGGGATATAGGAAACTGAAGGAATTTTTCTTGTGAAGGTATGTGTACATTATGATTTTGATGCATATAATTAAGAATCAACAGACACCAAAGGGATTGCTTAGATTTTTTTAAAAAGAGAATTGAAGGTAAATGTTTTGTGCATTGGCGAGGAAATAATTGATAACTTAATAGGTGTTTCCATGTCAAAATATTTTATGATTTCCAGAAGAAAAATATCAATATAAATAGTGAGAAAAGAAATCTTAAGTAGAAATGGAGAATTAGGTTGTGAGGAAATGCTTATAAAGACCTTTATTCTTTAAAAGGTTAGGCCTACTTTTCATACTATCTAGAGAGCAAGGGAGATATTATTTGTCTGGCAAAGAATTTCATGTCCTTCTGTGATTGTCAAGTAGAAAAATCTGGACCTAACTTTCTAACGAGACAGAACCAAATTTGAAGAGTTAGAGAACAGAAAGGTTCTGACATCTTTTTTCCTCCACTTAATAGTATTTTTTTTTCCCAATTACAGGTAAAGATAGTTTTCAGCATCCACTTTTATAAGATTTTGAGTTCTAATTTTTTCTTCCTCCCTTCCTCCCTTCCCCCTTCCCTAAGAGAGCAAACAATCTGATACAGACCTAGAAGTGGTATTGCTGGGTTAAAGGGTATGCACAGTTTTATAGCTCTTTGGACATAGTCCCAAATTGCTCTCCAGAATGGTTGGATCAGTTCACAACTCCACCAACAATGCATTAGTGTTTCAATTTTCCCACATCTTCTCTAGCATTTATCATTTTCCTCTTTTGTCATGTTAACCAATCTGATAGGTATGATGTAGTACCTCAGAGTTGCTTTGATTTGCATTTCTCTAATCAGTAGTGATGTAGAGCATTTTTTCAGATGACTATAGATAGCTTTAATTTCTTCATCTGAAAATTGCCTGCTCATATCCTTTGACCATTTATCAATTGGAGAATGATTTGTATTCTTATAAATTTGACTCAGTCCTCTATATATTTTAGAAATGAGTCCTTTATCAGAGATACTGGTTATAAAAAGTGCTTCCCAGCTTTCTGCTTCCCATCTGATCTTGGTTGCATTGGCTTTGTTTATGCAAAAACTTTTCAATTTAATGTAATCAAAATTATCCGTTTTGCTTTTTATAATGTTCTCCATCCATCCCTTCTTTGGTTGTATTAGTTCTTAATTGCGGTTGAGGTGGCATAAATTAAATGTCCTGATAAAAGATAATTCATATAAAATCATAGATTTAGAGTTGAAGGGCATCCTAGAAATCATCTTGTCCAACCTCTTGATTTTACTCTGATGTTGTTACTAGCTCAAAAGTCACAGGAACAAATATTTTTCTTTTTCGTGTACAATTTATATTTAGTAACTTCATTCTTTAGAAATGCTTCAGTGACACCAGAAATGAATTCAATCCAGATCATAGGATCATAAATTTAGACCCAGAAGTGACCCTAGAGACCATTTAGTTCAACCCTTTAATTTTACAGATGGAAATGAAAGTTGTTGTTTTGTTTATTGTTTGTTTTTTGTTCTCAAAGACAACTAATGACATCAGGAGGGTGATGTGTTGACTTGCAAGTGAATTAGATTTAAGTGAGGCAGAGCTGTGAAAAGTCATCAGCCTTACTCTCTCCTCCAAAGTCATCAGAGTCCAATGGCAAGACATAAGTCAAGATGACTGGTGATGGCCCAGCATGCAGAGGGAGACCTTGGCTTTTTTAACTGGAAGTGAAAACCCAGAGTGTTGAAGGGACATTTCCAAAGTCATACAGATGGCAAAGCTTAGGATTTTAGTTCATCTCCTCTCAGTTGAAATCAAGCTGACTTTCCACTGTACACGGCAGTGCATTCAATTCCACATTGGATCTCCAGTAGAAATTTGATTCAATTCAACAAATATTTTAATGTACATACTATGTACCTGGTACTAGGAATGTTGGGTGCACAGATAACAAAATGGCAAGGAAGTAACAATCTAATGGGGGTGAGGGAGGAGGAAGAGGAAAGGACAAGCTAGGACCTGTGCAGAAATAAGTGCGATACAAGGTACAATATCAGAGGAGCAAAGGAGAGAATCAGATAAAGTATTTTAGGAACAGTTGAACAGAGATATAGATCATTTTCAGTATGATGGAAATAGGTTAAGCAAACACACAGTAGACATTTAATGAATATTTTGTTGATTTGAATTATGAATAGTTAAATTTGGTATCAAACTAAATACTGTACTTAATTTTTTTAACCACTAGGTGGCTCTTTGGATACACTTTAGGGTTACTGGGAAAGCTAACCTTCTAATGAAGGCATCACTATAAATTCATTAACAATGTGTTTCCTGGGTATCTTACTAGATATTTCCCTCAAATTCTCCCTAGTGAATGAAAAAAACAACTAGAATAGTCCCTATTGAAGGCAGCTAACTAAAGACCAGAGTTGGGCTTCTGGTTGTTGTGCACCATTGCAGGTCTCCTGGCTGCTCCCTGATCCTCCTTGGAAAGGATCCCTTGCTGGAATCCTAGCAAGAATGCTTATTAGAAGAAAATATTAAGGTTATTCTGCTGGCTGTTATGTATAGAAGGTCTTAGCAGCCCAGCAATTATGCTGATGGGAAACCAAAGCATCAAGTTTAAATCCCTTTCAAATAAGAATGGATCATAAACAGAAAAAGCAGTGATGAAGCCTCTCTGTAATTGAGTACAACAAAATCTATTGGATGTTATTCAGGGAAAGGTAAGCCAGTTTGCTGACCTCCTTTTCTTATGCTCTAATTGAAATGTGTCATTGCTCCAGAAGAGGGTTAGAAGAGAAAAGTTTTTTTTTTAAATTTAAGTTGTTTATCAGCAACTCTGGGAAACGGTCCCACAACAATAGGTTACCTGCCAGTTCTATTTGGTCAGGTGTGGACAGGTCATTGGGATACTCCTTAGGCAACTTAACTCCTAATGAGGTTAAGCCAGTGTCAAGGCCAAGTGATCCTCTAGAGGAGTGTTCAGGAAGCCTTTGACCTTCTTTGAATGCATGGCTGTGACAGACATAGGCCTGGAAGACCTTACTCCAGCCTATAAGAGACCTGCTTACAGGAGGGATTGTCTTCTGAGATCTAGGAAAATAATGAGAGAAGAGCAATGATTCCAGGATTTTCCTGAGAGTTATAATCAACTCTTATAAATTCTTTAGAGAAGAGGCAGAACAAAGCATGGGAGTCTAGCATTAGCAACAACCAAAAATTTCTTTGGATTAGGAGCTAGTCTGATGTGGAAAGGCCATCCCTGAGGTATCTGCAGTTCTTGCCATTCTGCTAATGTAGATCCATGGGCCTAGATGATGGAGCCCAGGATCAAAGACCTTTCATTCCCATCAGCCCCTTCTATACCCAGCTCAAGGACGCGGTGGGGACTGTACTTCTGACAATCTCTAATACATAGTTCACTGCTTTTCCTTTATCTTCTGTTGTATTATTGTTTCAATTGTTTCAGTCATGTCCAACTCTGGGTTTGCCATTTCCTTCTCCAGGTCATTTTACAAATGAGAAACTGTGGCAAACAGGGTTAAGTGACTTGCCCAGGGTCACACAGCTAGTGAGTGTCTGAGGCTGGATTTGAACTCAAGTCCTCCTGACTCCAGGGGCAGCACTCTATCCTCTGGCCTACCTAGCTGCCCCATAGCTACTCCCTTCTGTAGGGAAGAAAAAACCAAGAGATTTTGTCAGGCACTTCGTGAGATGCCTTGTGCTTCAGTTTGCGGCAAGAAGTTTGATGATGACAGGAATTTAAATTGTTTGGCTAAAACCAAGTTTTTTAGATTTGTAGATTTTTTTTACCCATTTCTAGATTGTCAAGAGATGACAGCTGATGTGTGAATTATGAAGGACAAGTGTGTGAGAGCCCTTCTAGTCTCTTAATGTGATAGATTACAGTATATTTATTATGTTGAAAAGAAAGTATTTTTAATCATCATAGTTTTTTTTTAAAAAATAAACTCTTCATGCCATCTGCCAATTCATTGTTAGAGCATGGAGTCAGAAGAAAGGAGAAGCAGTAAAATAACTAGAGAAGATAATAATATAAAAGAAAAAAGGTATTAAAAAGGAGAGAGTAGTTTCTAAAGCAAGTAAAAGAAAATAGAGTCATAGTGGTGTATTGGGCTTGAATCAAATGAAGAGTTGGAAAAACACAGATGATGCCATGTCCCATGGCCCAAAACATCATTTTCTCATCCTATTTCTATTTATTACGTAGGATATATTTATTGTACTTGTTGAAACTCATACTGTGGGAAAACTGACCCAAACTGCTTTTTAAGGGAAGAAGGAAGAGAAAGGAGAGGAGAGAAGAGGAGAGGAGCATTTATTAAGCACCAGGCTTTATTATGTGCCAGGCATTGTGCTAAGTGCTCTACAAATATCTCATTTTATGCTCACAACAACCTTAGGAGGTAGGTGTTATTATTACCTATATTTTACAATTGAGGCAACTGAGGCAGGCAGTGCTTAAGTGACTTGTCCTGGGTCAAACAGCTAGTAATTGCCAGATTTGAACTTGGGCCTTCCCAACTCTAGACCCAGTGCTCTATCCACTGCACCATCTAGTTAGAAACCTCTGCCCTTAAGGGTAGAGGCTATTTAATTTTTGTCTTTGTAGCCACAGTGATTGGCAGAAAGCCTGCCAAATAATTGGTTCTGAATAAATGCTTGTTGATTGGTTGGTTGATCTTGGGAAGATGCCAATTTGAAAGATCCATGTACCCAAACTGTAACCCCTGCCCATTGAACTCTTGGTTAAGCTCATGTTAATGGAGGGATCCCCTAGATGTTGTGTTGGTGAATGGATTCTAGGCAGATTCTCACATATTGTAGTTTTCAGTCTTCCCCGCACCCTAACATGACAATGGCACATGTAAGAAGCAGACTTACTCATTGATTCCCTGTTCTTTTCTGCCCCTTTCAGGGGAGATGAATCAATCTTTTCTCTTTTCTTTTCTTTTCGTTTTGTTTCATTTCGTTTCTCTTCTCTTCTCTTCTTTTCTTTTCCTTTCTTTTTCTTTCCTTTCCTTTCTTTTCCTTTCTTCTCCTTTCTTTTGTTTTCTTTTCTTTTCTTTCCCCTGAATCGCTACTTTCAACGACAGCACAACAGTGACACTCTATTCATTTTGCCTGCAGATGGGCACATCCGGATGCTAGGTCTGTAGCTCCACTTATTGCCACACATGTTATGGGCTTCTTGATCTAAGGTAGTTCTGCTCTAAGAATGACTACAGTTTTCTGTTTCCTCTTTCTCTGAGTTCTCTAGATGAAGAGTAACACACTTTACCCAAATGGCTCCCGTGAACTTTGGGTAATTTGTGTATCTGTGAGAAGTCTTGTCAGATGTTGGTCCTATAAGTTTAAAGAATACATTGTTGATGGATTTTTATTTCAATTTTGGTGCCATCTTGCCATGTGCAGAAATGAAATCTTCCACATTTCATTTAAATGAGAAAAAATTTCTAAGCCATACAAGCTACCTGTTATTGGTGTTGTTTTTATTTGGAATTTGTTTATTGCTTTTAGAAACTTGAGTTGCATTTGTTCTGTTCAGAATGTCCTTCTGTCTATGTGTATTGTTCCACTGTTTTTCACTCTATGTTTTCTAAAATAAATTGTCAAATAGCATTATTAAAAGAAGATGGCTTTTCATAGGATTGTAGAAAAGAGCAGGATATGGGACTTTATAAATCATCTAGACCAACCTGCCCATTTTGCAGATAAGGAAACTGAAGCTCAGAGAGGTGAAGTGATCTGAACCAAGTCATATAGATTTATTATCTATAGCAGCAATGTCAGGATTTGAAACTAAGTCCTTGGGCTACATGTATGGAGTCCTTATATATTGTGGCTGTGGTAATAGAAATGTTTCTCCATAGAGTTTTGTGAATGAAAAGTATCTTTCTCTAAATTCATTGTATTCTTATTTTTAAAAAGAAATTTTACTAACATTTCTTCATTGACTAGTGTGACCCAACCCAAGATACTTTGAATCATTGAGATCTCCCATTTTGAAACCTATTTATGACAGCCAGTTTTAGAGCCAAGTCTGTGGCTCTGGCTTCCTTCTTCTAGCAATGTTTACTTTCAACTTATTTTTACAAAGAATATGTTAAAATATAGTTAAGCTAGGCATACCAATAGACTCCAACCCCTAATGATTTTCAGTAGGGGAAATGATTACTGAATTTTCGGGATCAACATGATTCCCAAAAGAAGATTGCTGTTTATAATATTACTTGGATACCTTGACTCTGATGTTCTCAAATTTGGCAAAAATAGCCATTCCTGAGAACACGTTTTATAAAGTATAGAGGAAACAACTTTCAATAGTAGATGACACTTAAAAACTGAATTAAACCAAATAAGCCTGGTATTGAACCCTCTTGTGTTTCTCAGTTCCATTATGATCTCAATCAATCTTCAAAGCCCTGTGTTCCAATGGAAATGTAGGAGCTCATTATCCAGATGTTCCATTACAAGAATTTTTTGTAGTTTTTTTTTTTTGGTAATTATCAGTCTCTAAAATTTGTTCTCTTTTCCTGAAAACTTGCTGCTGGGAAGTTGATCCAGGTTCCTCATGTTTTTCTCTGATTTCTTTACATGTCTGATTTAAGACATGTTGCATGAAGCATATGATTAGGATAAATCAGAACCACAAACCCCAGAGGAAGTAGATAAGGCCACATTTGTTATATATGATTATAAAACTGTTTTTCAACTTGTTTCTCAGGAACAGTGATGCTTAATTAACCCAGAGAAGTCTTCCTGTGAAGAGGGACCATTTCCTTCAGAAGTACCATCAATCAAAGGTTGGATCCTGATTGCCTACAGACTAAATTCCAGTAAACTTAATGCCTCAGGACTTTCTTTTATTGTATTAGATTAAAAAAAAAACCACTATAAAATATCATGGGAAGTAAGTTATGAATTAAAATTGGAATTTTTCTTGTTATATTGAGACTTTTGGTCGTAATGACATTTAGTCACATGAAAATTTGCAAAGGAATATTTATCTTGAATTCATCAACTCCAAGAAAAAATGTTTTTTTTTTTAAGCACTCACATACTAAAGGGTTAGTTGGATTCCACCAGAGTTGGGTAATAATTCTAGCATATAACCTAAACATGTACTAAAAGGGGAAGTAGCTATTAAATCCCACTTCAGAGAATACCATCCAATAATCTAATAAGCATTTTTGCTGGAAAAAAATGGCAAAGATTTAAGTTTAATTTCTTCTTTTTTCAAAATGGTTTCAGAGCTGTGTACTGTTTCTTTTAACCATATATTTGGTTCTGTATAACTAAGTTATTTCCATTACCCACAACCCATATAAACATTGTTTTGTTGATGTGGTTAGGAGAATTCTGCAATAAGTAATTTTGAAAGAAATTCTTTAGTCTTCTTCCTTAAACAAGTCAGTTTCAATGAAGAAAGTACCTGGTTGTACACTAGTTGTACTATATTTAGAAAGGAAAGAAGAAAGATGATTTTCATTTATTTATTTATTTATTTATTCATTCATTCGTTCATTTATTTATTTTTGCTAGGCAATGGGGTTAAGTGACTTGCCCACGGTCACTCAGCTAGTAAGTGTTATGTGTCTGAGGTCGAATTTGAACTCAGGTCCTCCTGAATCCAGGACTGGTGCTCTATCCACTGTGCCATCTAGCTGCCCCAAGAGATGATTTTTAAAAAAATGATTCTTTCATTTTACCATCAAGTTTCTCTTAGATTCCCCATGCCTATTTCCCTTCTTAAATAACCTTCTAAAACAAAAACTATTTTATTCATTTGTTTATTTATTCAACAAGCATTTATAAGTGTCTACTATGTGCCAGGCACTTAACTAGGTGCTGAGGATATAAATAATGCCCTTGTCTTCAAGGAATTAGTATCCCATTGGGGCGTGGGGAGTAGAACACCACATTCACAGAGAAGTCAATGTGAAATCTATACACGGTAATTTTGGTGGAGGCAACACTAGCAACTGGCTAAGCCTTATGTAGCTCATGTAGCCTCATGAACTGAGCCTTGAAGGATACTGGAGATTCTAAGAGACTTAGTGGAAGAAGGAATATAATCATGGCTGCAAGGTGAAGGGAGGTGACCTGTGTAAAAGTAGGAGATGGGAGACGGAATGTCATGGGAGGGGAGTAATAAGTTGGCCAATTTGATTAGAACGTATGTGTATGTATGTGTGTGTGTGTGAGTAACAGGCAATAAACCTGGAAAGATAATCTGGAGCAAGATTGGGAAGGGCTTTAAATGCAGGATAGAGGACCTTGTATTTTATTTTAGTAGCAGGAAGGTTGTCCTTTATTTTCAAAGAGGACCAAAATGACATCACTATGTTAGAGTCAAGTTGCAATGCAGCCAACCACGACTGATTGGATCAGTATGAGTTCGAAATGCTCTACCACAGGTCAGGCACAAATAGTCCATGTAAACATTTGGGGTGGAGTCACTTATTTTGCATATCTCACATTTCTTTTGAGCTGCTTCAATTCTGCTTTGCTCATAGAGGACAGCACCTTCTCTGAGGAGGGCATGCCACTCAAGGTTGTCCTGTGCCAGTGTCTCCCATGTCACACCATGAGTTTCAAAGTTCTTAAGAGAGACCTTGAGAGTGTCTTTATAAGGCTTCTTCTGACCATCCTGTGAACTCTTGCCCCATATGTAGTAGGAAGGAACACCTTGGGCAAGGAAATTACAAGATTGGTTCTGTGCTTAAGGAAGATCAGCTTGACCCCTAGGTCAAGATGGATTGGAGAGGGGAGATGCTTGCGAAGGTAAAACCAGTTAGGAAGCCTTTTCTGTAGTCCAAGGTGAGAGGTAAAGCAATATTCAACTAGGCAAGGCAGCCAGCATTTATTAAATTCTTACCATGTGCTGAAGCTCTGAGAATACACATACAAGCAAAAAGAAAGACAGTTCCTGTCCTCAAGGAGCATACAATCTAATTGAGGAAGACAATACCCAAAAAGGAGCTGAAAAGTAGAACAGGGGGAATGTGGAAGGTGGGGAGGAAGATTGGAGGCACCCAGATGGGGCATGGGGGCAAAGACTGGAAAGTCAGAAGCACTGCTGGAGGGGAACGAAAACTGGTCTGCCTGAGCCATTTCCAAAATTGGAGGCCCTAGAAGGGAGGAGCTTGTCAGTGGGAGAAGGAAGCTGGTGTCGGCAGATGGATGTCTAGGATGAGCAGGCTACAAGCATCCAGTGAGTTTCCAGGGTGAAACTGCAACAGAGGCATAAAACTAGGGTGGAAACCCTCAAACTGCTGGTCCAAACAAAAAAATAACAAAGGGCCTGAAAGCTAGGACAAACAATGATGTGGGGACGGCTATGAATAGCTGAGGTTATCTATAAGTGATACCTCCTTCCTTTTTTTATTGACTTCAAAACATTTGTTTCACTTGCTGATTCACAACAGAGGGGATGAGAATCAGGTTTGTCTCATCTTTACATTCTGCTGTTGGGGGGGAGGTGATTTTCAACCATGTAGTTATTATGACAAAATTTCAAGACAACAAAACGTCAAAGTTCTATGGAGTTATTTAATAATGAGGAGAGGTGTCTTCCTTGAAATTTGGGTGGGAAGCATCAATATCTTGTAAAGCAAATGTTCAGAAAAAGCTTGTTCCTAAGTTCGGTTCAAGTGGCTAGGAGGTGAGAGGGAAGGTTCTTGAGAAAATCATAGAGGTGTGAAATGTGGTAGTTACAGACATCAGGAGGGGCAGCTAGGTAGCAAAGTGGATAGAGTATTGGGCTTAGAATCAGGAAGACATCTTCATGAATTCAAATTTGGCCTGAGACACTTGCTTGCCAGTGTGATCCTGGGCAAGTCATTTAACCTTGTTTGCCTCAGTTCCTAATCTATAAAATGAGCCGGAGAAGGAAATGGCAAACCACTCCAGTATCTTTGCCAAGAAAACCCAAAATGTGATCACAAAAGAGTCAGACAAGGTTGAAATGACTGAACGACAACAAACAAACAGACCTCGTGATAGAGAGAGGATTTTGGAAGTGTATTGGTTTGAAAAAAATGAATAAAGGAAAGGATGGAACAAAAAATTAGCATCTAAAATAATTATACTCAAGAGATTAACCTTGAGGAGAAGATTTGGGCATAGACTTTTGTCCTGGTCTCTCATCAGATCTCTAATTAGATTGTCCATCCCACCACTGCCTTTGTCTGTGTTCCTGGTTCATTTTTTCCCCTAAGGATATGACAAACATTCAAAAGTGAGGTATGATTAGTTGAATTTACAAAGTCAATGGAGAAAGATTCAATTAAGAAACTAGAACTTGTTCAAACTTCAAGTGGATATTTTCTGTTATTTTGATTTACTTCAAACCAAGCTTCAGTGAAAGCCAGGGATCCTTGGGCCACCCTAGATCCATTTTTTGATGAAGGCTTTGTTTCCCCTCCTCTACCTCCTCAGGGCAGCACCTTCTATAGTGTGGTTCCCATGTACTGTCCCAGCCTAGACATCATCAGGAATCCTCTTCATGTTTTATATTCTCTCAAGCTTTTTTTTTTTTGCTTTTTTTGGTGAGGTAACTGGGGGTAAGTGACTTGCCCAGGGTCACACAGCTAGTGAGTGTTTTGTGTCTGAGGCCGGATTTGAACTCAGGTTCTCCTGACTCTAGGGATGGTACTCTATCCACTGCGCCACCTAGCTTCCTCAAGCCTCTGTTTTCTAAGTGAACATCTAGACCCACTCCCTGGGAGCTGGGCAAGGAACTTTGATCTGCTTCAGATTCCAAACAAAGCTGGACATTCATGCACATTTAGCCATAGTGAAGTTTTTGCATATTGAGATTGTCATAAATTTTAAAATATTGTAAAATATTCTTGAGGAAAAAAATATCAGATATCCCTATTGGTTAATGTTGTACATTATCCAGTCAACAATGATGGAAATTAGATCACTTTGGACATTTAATTATAACATCAACCTACATGCAGATTTTAAGTTAATAAAGCTTAAAAGTACATTAAGACTTTGAGACATTATGTATTTCCACTTACATTGCCAATGCTACTACTACTTGTACTCCTACTACTACCACTACCACTACTACTACTACTACTACTACTACTGCTACTACTAACTACTATACTACTACTACTACTGCTCCTGCCACCACCACCACTATTTATATTGATTCTAAGGTCTGCAAAGTGCTTCATACACACACACACACGCACACACACACACACCTACATACATATGTATGTGTGTATGCCTCATTTGATACTCAAAACAACCCTGTCAGGTAGACGCTATTATGGGCTCTGTTTCACAAATAAAGGAACTGATTCTATTTAATCACTCTTAGCTGAACAATCTGGGTAGTCTGTATGGCATTCTCAACATTAAAAGATTAAGTGCCTTGCCCAAATTCACACAATTAGCAAGCATCTGAGATGTGGTTGAACTTGGGTCTTCCTGACTTCAAGTCCATCTCTGTTTACTATGCCCACTATACAGAAAAACTATCTCTTATTCTTTGTGCATGCTGCAGAAATTAAGTAAGAGAAAGGAAGGAATACACTTTATTGGAAAATAAAAGTAGAAGTAAATATTAATTTTGAACTGCATGGTTTGAGGAATAAATTTGGTTTGGAATGGAATTGAAGTGGAAAGAAACATATTAATGCCAGCATATTAATTCCTGTTGTCATTGGAAAATTTTTATTTTTCTTAACAAAAAAAAAGGTCACACTATGCTAATACCCTGGTCAGAGTTTCAGGACTCTCTTGATGTTCCATCATTTTCCAGTGCTCTTCAGTTTGAAAATTGGAGGTTTATTTTTCCCTTTTACATTTGCTTTTTAAAAGTTAAAAGTCATGTTGTACACATTCATTTTTTAGGTAACCACACAGCGGGCTAATGGAGGTGGATCAAAAGGGCTTTTCTCTCTGTTTTAAAGGCTGGGAGAACTGAGGCAGAGCAAATTGTGACCTTTCTGAAAGCTTCTTGAAACTTCCTTACCCCCAGGGCAATTTTCCCCTTGTCTGTTACTTTAGCAGTATCAACAGTTACCAGACTCCACACTAACAGCTACTCACAGAGAGGAGGAAGAATACAAACATCAGAGAGGAATTCTTGGAATTTTCTCTTTTTAACACTGAAAAGTGTAATAAAACATTGTATCTACAGATCATATTCCTTGGCCATGGACCTAAAAGAATATTGTACAGACATGCAAAGGAGATGCTCCCACTTTTAGCAACTCATTTTTAACTTCTGGGCAGGTCTGCATTTTCCCCTGATCATGAAAGTCATTATATGATTTTTTTCTTGAAAATCAATCAATACAGAATACGAGATGCTTCCCCCACCACATATTTGCAAACTATTATGAATAATTTACTTCATATTAATTAAATATCTTTTTTTCTTGCAGCTTTTGTTTCTACCAATTTGACCTCACCCATGGCTGCTGATGGCAATGATGTTGTAAGTACTTTTTTTAGAAAGCCTTTAGCTAGAGAGATATTAGTGGTCAGATGGATGTAGAAGAACACGTAAAAATCATAGCTGGATTGATTGTGTGCTTGGGGGACTATTTTTTTCTCAATTTATTAACTACAATGGAGCTAAATTATAGTATCATTAGCTTCCAGAGGTTTTATATTCACCAAGTGTTTGATTAGGCTCTCTTCTTTAGCAATCTAATCATTATCTGGCAATACTATATATCTGCATTGTATTGTCCTTTATATTTAAAGTTGATGTTACTGATGACCTTATTGTGTATGAATACAAAGTTTAATAGTACTAGTACCTTTATTTCCACTGAGTTACATTTTTCAGAGTGTTTCCATGTACATTATCTCATTTGGTCCCACCACAACCATTTACGTAAATAGGGCAGTTGAGAGTATTTTTCCTTTACAGATGAGGAAACTGAGGCATAAAGAAGTTTAGAGAATTGAGATGGAACTTATGTTTAGAACAGGACAATTGAAAGCTATTCTTTGCTTAGAGGGAACAGATTTGACAAAACTGGAGGAAAAAGTGAAACGTATGCTAAGGTGATGGAGAAAGAAATGGCAAATCACTCCAGCACCTTTGCCAAGAAAACCCCATATGGGGTCACCAGGGGTCCAATATGACTGAACAACAACAACAAATGCTAAGTTGAATGAATTTGAGGCACAGAAGCAAAATGGAAAACATTAGATTGAGGACAAATAAGGGAAAAAGAAATGATACAATGTTGGGAGTACGCTACAAATGATCCAAACCAAATAGAGGATCATAGATTCAGAACCAGAAAGGACCTTGGAAGTTAAGTGATCATCCCACGGTCGTGCTATTCATATTCCTTGGTTGTGGCATTAAAAAGAATGCTGTATAAATATGCAAAATGGTGCTTTCACGTTTCCTAACTTACTTTAAAAGTTTGATTTTTCTTCTGGGCTCATCCCTGAATCCCAATGGCAGAACTGGAATCTGAACCCGGGTCTTGTGGCTTCAGATCTAGTATCTTCCCATCATGCCACACTATTTTCTTCAGGAGGTGAATAAAGCTTTACTAGTACTGATCATAAGGCTGGTGTCTGGATATCTACTGTCAGTCTTACCGATAAAAGCAGGGTATCTGATTAATTATTTCCTTGCCTTGCTGATAGTTTCATTTATTGCAAATGAATTCATTTCTTGCCAATGATTCTAGAAAAGAGCAATGAAGGGAACTGTTTCATTGGATTTAATTCTGATTAAGGAGGAGACACTGGTCAGTGAAGAAAAGTGGGAAACTTAGGTGGAGGAGATGACCCAATCATCTTAGAGTTTGCAATTTGGAAAGAAGTCAGTTATGCAAAAACATTTATTAAGTGCTTATTGTATACTAGACTGTGTGACAGGCATTTAGGAGGTGCAGTAGATACATATGGCCTAGCTGATACTTACAGTTTGTCGCTTCCTAAAGCTGTTAGAATATTTGTACACAAAGTTAATTAACGAACAGGTTAATGTTGGAACTGGAGGAAATCTCTATTGACAGGCTTTGTCATTTGTACTTTTCTGTTCAACATTTTTCTAACAACTTGAATGAGGATTTAGAAGGTGTGCTTATTAAATTTTCTGATAAAAAAATCTGAGCTAACTAAAAAAAACTCCAAGAACAAAAACAATGTAGTTATATTAATGGATGACAGAACCAGTATTCAAAATTATCTCAATAGGCGAAAATGATGGTGATATTGTATGGGTCTGAGTCATAGAATCACATTCTCTGAAAAATTAAAGTTGAGTCACCCAAAGTGCAGTGGGAAGGTTCAGGGTGGGGGTGAATGGGTCATGACATAATACTACCCAAGAACTGATCAAGTGTTGCAGCATACAGGAGGCGTTAAGAGAGGTGTATGACCATGAGCATGTGGTGAGAGCAAGGAAAAACTGATGGACAATGTATTGGGATGGAGGTGAGATTGGATGACTTAAGACCAATAGGGTCATAGATGAAGACATGGAAGGGATATTGGAGGCTATCTAGTATATCCCCCTTATTTTACAGATGAGGAAACTGAGGGCCAGAGAATTGTGTGACCCAGAGTCACACAGGTGATAATTAGCAGAGTCTATATTCCCGTTCTAGGACTCAAAACCTAGAATTCTTTCCAGTACTGTGCTTCCAACTCCAAGGTTCTATAACTGAAATCACATAGTAAATTAATAGAGCTGAATTATTAAAATTATTAGAAGCAGTTAGGTAGATAGAGCTCTGGACTTGGAGTCAGGAAGATCTGAGTGCAACTTACTAGTTGTGTGATCCTGGGAAACTCACTTAACCTATAGCTCCCATAGTTTTCTCACCTTTAATATAGGAATAGTAGTAGTACCTGTCTCCCAGGGTTGTGGCAAAGACAAAATGACGTAAGATTTATAAAACACCATACAAACAAAATAAAGCTATCCTACATGGCTAACTCATTACAAGTCAATGGTTTCCAGTTTTGGCTGTTTTTACTTCACCATCATCATCATCATCATCATAGAGTTGGGTGAGACTAGAACCTGGGTTTTTTGACTCCTAGTGCAGGAATCTTACAGCTGCTAAGGGAAATGGTAATGGATCCCTCAACTTAACACAGAGGTCAAAGTTAGGATAACTTGTTCTGACCTAGAGCAGTTACCACCAATTTATAAGATGAAGAATGACCAACAGTTTCCATCCTACAGGAATGAGCAACTGATGGACAGATAATATATTTGTTCAGTGGGAAAAGAAAGCAGACCATGTGTCACATACTCTGTTTGGCTCTAGGTTTGAGAAATAGAAGTGACTAGTTGTCCTTTGATTCACAGAGAGGCAGATTTAAGCTTATAGATATAAGGGCAAACTTACTAATAATTTGTTGTTGTTGTCAAGTTGTTTCAGTTGTGTCCAACTCTTTGTGATTCCATTTTGGGGTTTTCTTAGCAAAGATACTAGCATGATTTGTTATTTCCTTCTCCAGCTCATTTTACAGCTGAGGAAACTGAGATAAACAGGGTTAAGTGACTTGCCCAGGGTCATGCAGCCATTAAGTATCTGAGGCCATATTGGAATTCAGGAAGATGAGCCTTTCTGACTCCAGGGTCAGCACTCTATCCACTGCTACACCAACATGAAACAAACTTCTTTTTGAAGTTATGGATTTCTCCTCTTTGAAGAACTTCAACAATAGGCTGGGATGGTCACTTGTCAATAACATTGTAGTAGCAATTCTTGATTGGGTACAGTTTGGGCTAGTTGGTCTCTGATGTTCTTTTCATTTTTAAGATTCTCTGAACTCTTTCAGAACAAATTACATTATTTAGTGCCCTGGAACAGGACCTTTTAAAAGTCTCATTATGACTGAAAAAGAATCAATATATTCATAACATTGATAAAGAGCTAAAACCACAATCTAATGGATTGTTAATTAATTGTTAGAATTGGAATCTATCTAAGCGCAATCTATCTAATCTAATGATCTCATTTTGGATACATGAAAACTACCAGTAGGAAAGGGAAACGTGACTTGTCCTAGATCATGCTGTGAGTTAGTGACAAGAGTTGAGATTGGACCTCAGTTCTCTCGAAAGCTCCATTCTCTTTCTACTATACCATACTGCCTCAGTGAATTCATTCATCCATAGAATCTGAATCTGGATTTGTTATTGTTTTGACATTGCTCATAAAAGATTTTAAGGTATTCATGATATTCTTCAGCTCCCATTTACTCCATCAACATAACAACACTGATTTTGTGATAACTATATATCACTGGAAAACAGATGAGCAACTTCTTATATCCTTTTGTTCTTAAAAACTATTATTAGAATTCTTTAGTCTAAGATATACATTAGTAAAGGGATACTTTAATTATGAAAGGAAAACACAGACTCACTTCAAAAAACATGCGACTCAACAGGAATTTGAGAAATTACCTATTCAATCTCATTGCTGTAATTTTCTTACCCTAGGTCCAGCACCTCCCAGACTTAATCCTGTCATGGAGAAATGCCATACTGAAATGCCAATACTGAAAGTTGCAGGATTTTAGCATCTTAGATTAGAGTTCAACAGTAATTATTGAAAAAAAATTCTGTTTTTGAGGAAGGAATTCAGTCACTCACTTCCTTTAATTAAATCAGTGACTTGGATTAAAGTGGTCAGGGAAAGCTTCACAGAGCCTTGAATTAAATATTGAAGGTTGCATACAATGTGGATGGTGTGGGGAGGTGCACATTCTTGGTGAGGGTAACAGCATGAGTAAAAACACAGAGGTGGGGAAGCATGAGACTTATTCAGGGGAATAAGTTGGGAGAAAGTTGGTTTTTCTTCTTTTCCTCCTCCCATGGATAATTTTCCACATTTTTTTCAGTACAATAGGCTTATGTCTGTTTTTATGTTACTATTTAAGTGACAGAGCAGTAATAATAACAATAATGACATTAAAGATAGTTGCATCTTGCATTGCTAAAAAGATGTACGTGAATCAAATGTTTGTAAATTATTATTTTGAATACACTAGGGAGTTTTTTTAAAAGATGTCCTGTTTTTCATCCTTTTTGCAAACTGAAAGATTATATTCCAATTCAACTTTTAAGTCTGTAATTTCATGTATTGAGTTTACATAAAATGGGGTAGGTTTTTAATATTTTTAATAACCAATATTATAGCAGCAAGAAGGGGTTATGAATCAATAGGTGAGTCAATCAACAAAACCTCCTGTTGTTCCAGGCAAAGTACTAGACACTGGTCATACTAAGACAATAGTGAAAATATAAATTGTCTGCAAGGAGCAAAGAAAGTGTATGTATATATTGGTATAGCAGGGAGGGAAGCATCATGCTTTTAAATGAGCCACTTTGTGAACTTTTTTTCTCCCTTTGGTAGGTAATTTCTCTCCTCCCCCGCTCCCCCCCCGCCTCGCCCCTTTCCCCTTTTTGTTGACTTGGAGTCAGAGCAAGCTTGTGTACGC